ACACGAAAGTCATGGAATAGCAGAGCAGGACACCAGCCAGAAGGATGTAGCAGAGCTCCCGGCCTGAGGCTTTGACCACAGGCGTCCCATTGTGGCGGACAAATACGCCCAGAACAAAGAGGGTGGCGAGGAAGCCCAAGCAGGAGATTGTGACCGGTCCCACGGCCCACGCGTCTCCCCAGCGGATGTACTCTTGGGGCAGCTCAAAGCACCCAGAGAGGCTGGCATTGGGCCAGTAGCCCAGCCCACAATCAGTGCAGGTGAACTCATCCTTCAGATACTCATAGGGCTGGCAGGGAATGCAGAGCCAGCAGCAGACGTCACCCGGCTGGACACTTTTCATCTCATTCTTCAGGCAGGGTTCACTGCATCTGGAGGCGGGGAGGGCCGTGCCTTGGGTTGAGGCCCATGGGATGAGGCTGGTGTCCAGACTCAGGCCCTCAGCCCAATAACCGACCTTTCGGTAACGGTAGCGTCCGCTGCCTGCGCGGAGGTAGGTGAAGATATTGTATCGGCCGATGCCATCGCCAAAACGGTCGAAGCGCACCTCGTTGTGGGTGTCAGCGGGTCGGAATGGCGCTAGGGGTAGGAAATACGTAAGGGGGCTGAGTCTTGAGTTTAGAGTCATTGACTCTAATCCTAAACCAAGCCCTAACCCCAAACCTGAATTCTATTCAGCTTTGAACCCAACTCTAAACCTCTCCTAGCCATTAAATCTAACCCTCCACTAAGCCTAATCCCCAAACAGCTCATAAACCCACCCTAAATACAAATACTAATCATCGGGCTTTAACCTTACATTCACCCTCAAACCAATAATCCTGACTTTAACTCCATCATTGAACCATAGCTTTGATTTGGGGGCCATGTCCAGTCACCTTGATCTGTATCTGGCCACTGGACCCAGATGGCTCTGGAGGAGAAAGTAAGGCTGGTGACCTTGCACAGCCCTCCCTCACTTAAATTCATTTGACTTGCAAGTAGTGGCATCACCTTCCTGATGTCATGGTCTGCTTTGAGAACGAAAGATAAACAGCAGCAAGCCTTGATTTACTCCAGCCATAAACCTTACACAACTGCAGCATTAGCTCCATCAGACCAATCCGCAATTCAAAACCACACCTAACAGCAATTCTAACTTACACAGTTTCCCAAATGACCCCGACCTACCCCACCCAATCCCAAACACAATCCTGACGCTAACGTAATATTAATCCCATTCCCAACTCCAACTCCGATATGCATCAATCCCTACTCTGCTGGGAGTACCCTGTGCAACCTTGGGCAAATCACTTAACTCTTCTGGACCTCAGTTTTTTCATCTCTAAAATGGGGATAATAGTATTGGCTATGCCCAACTTACTGTTCTTAGGAAGCTTAAATGAGATCAAATCCACAAAACCCTGTGCAAACTTGAAAGCCAGATTGAAATGGCAGCTGTTATTATTAGTTCTGCCCTCTGGGGCTAAGTAAAGGAAAGTTTAATCTTGCTTTCTCATGCTGGCCCTTCAGCTATTTGCAGATTGTGATTGGTTCTTCCTGGTGCTTCTCTCCTTTAGGCCGAACACCCCCAGTTCCTTCAGGGATCCTCCATATTCTTAGCATGCTGGTCACCCTCTTTTGGGTAGGTCCCAGCTACTTAGTGCCCCACCTAAGATGTGATGCTTAGAGTAAACAACAGAACTCTCACCTTTCTGCCTGGGGATGATGCTATGGGTTATCAATGCAACTGAAGATCATTCATTAATTAAGTTAATTAATGCAGCTTTTAGTGGCCTGTGTCTCATGATTATTGATGACAATAGCTAGCATCTGTAGAGCATTTTAAGGTGTACAAAGTGCTTACAAATATGATCCCATTTTATCCTCACAAACAACCCAGACAGATAGGAGTTATGATTACCTCCATCTTACTGATGAGGAAACTGATGGAGAGAGGTTAAGTGACATGCTGGAATCACACAGCTAGTGTGATCTGAGGATTGGTTTGACCTTGGGTCTTCCTGACTTCGGGTCCAGGTATCTAGCCACTGTTCCACATAGCTGCCTAGGATTGATACTTAACATTGAATTAAGTTGATCCAGTAATTTCTAGGCTTCCTGAAATCATGACATCTTGACCTAGAGTGTCTTCACAATAGCTCATGCCTTCCCTCCAAAGAACTCGTTCTCTATATATGTTTTTTTCAAGGAAATAAATTTAAACTAACTATGTTTTAGGGGAAAAACTCATGAGAATTTGAAAGTATCATATGGAATGAATATAACCTTGGGGGGATAGAAAGCAGATGGAGAATGACTCTTCCCATACCCTGATCCTTAATCTGACCCTTCACATCAACCCACACCAGTTTACCCCTCCCTCAGGCTACCCCCACCAGTCTTTGCTGAGCCTCTCACATCTAGTACCCAGAACCCTCACCTCCTTCTGCCTCAACAGTCTTGGGGAATGGTTAGTGATTGAGGGGGAGGGTGCGTATTGATCAGTAGGTGCTTAGTACAATGCTTATTGACTAGGACTGACTGTGCCCTCTCTACATGCTTGTCCTCATCCTGAGCTTAGGGTTGTGGGGCTGGAGGGGAATCCTCTACTTTAGATTCTTTCATGGTTCCTTACATCCTCCTCCACTCCCTGAGACTCCAAGTAAGCTTGAACAACTCCCCTCCTCCAGATCTCACTCTTTAGGCAGCCATCACATCTCCAAACACTGCTCATCTTCATCTCTCTACTTCCAAGACCACCTTTCCAAGGTTCGGTTGACAGAGCTCTGGTTTGAGCCCTGACAGATACCTTATTTCTAATCTTGGCTCTGCCACTAAGCTTACCTGTGTAACCTGGGACACAGCTCTTGCCTTCACCTCACCTCAGTTTCCCCCCATCCATGTGACAAGGCCAACAGCATATATCCTCCATCCCCATCCAAGGTGTATTGCATACAGATGGTCATCCCTATCATCAAAACCTCCCAATTGTTATCTAGGTTGGCCTTTTGCTCTGTATTTATTGTACTTGACCTTTTATTCCAAACAAACTAGCCTGCCAGCTAGCTGCCCCAAATCTTTACACTTTCTCTCCTGTGTATTGAGCAGACTATCCATCTCTTATACCTAGGCTGTATGGTTTAGGAGAAATGGTCTGATTGGGGATCTGGGAATTGGCTTCTTCAATGTACTACCTATATAACCTGGGTCAAGGAAGTAACTTGACCAGCAATAAGCTTGCTTGTAAAATGAGAGATTTGGATAAGCTGGCCTCTAGGGTTCCTGCTCTGTATCTAGAAGTCATCCCTTCCTCATCTCCATACATTGAAATTCTTCCCTTCCTTCGAGACCCTCCTCAGGTGCCAACCCCTCTATGAAGCTGGCCCTGATTCTCCCAGCCAATGAAAACACTCTCTCCCACCTCCTGTTTTCCTCACATTTTGTTTGGATGTCCCCCCCCACACACACACACACTCATATGCACACACATATTACATCCTTCCTATTAGACTACAATTCCTGTGGAGAGTAACTATGCCATTTTTCTTTTTAACATCTCCATATCCTTAGCACTAGGTCAGGGTATTGCACATAGTAGGTACTTAATAAATGCTTGTAGAATTGAATTGACTCATTACCGTCAAACTTGACATTGAGCATGAAGTCTTTGTAGAGCCGCTTCCCATTGACGGGGCGCATGGCATCACAGAGATGAGTGGTGTTGGGACACAAGGCCTGGTGCATGTTGTGTAGGCTGTGGGCCATGGCGTACACGGCATTGACCACAAACATAATTTTGGACTCCTGCTCAAAGGGTCCTGTCTTGAGTGAGTGGACCCCACAGTCCCGCCGGCGGAAGCTACACCCAAACTTCTGCTCCCAGAATTCTCTAAACCAAGGATTTCGGCTGTTGTTCCATGGGTCAAGGGCTCGAAAATAGGTGGCAAAGTCACCAATGGGGTAGGAGGCCAGCTCAATGGTGAGAGCACCCTCTGCTGCCCCTTCACTGCCTGCCACCACACTTTCCAGGGCACCCCAACCGTCACTGGCCACCCACGTGAAGGAGGCATTGAGGCGTTGGGCGGCTGCCAAAAGTTCACGGGCATCCTCAGAGCGAGCAAACACGACAGCTACTCGGGCACTGGGTTTCTGCAACAGGGCCCGAACCACACCCTCAAAGGCGGCTCGACTCATGGCCCGGCCCACCTTCTCTGAGGTGGCCACGCAGATGTTGCGGGCTCGGGCCTCCAGCTCAAAGGCCTCGATTCCCGTCTCCCCATAGTCCCCCTCTGAGGCCACAGTCGATACGTAGGTCCAGTTGAAGAAGCGGAGGATCTCAGCCATGGCCTTGGCCTGGTAGAAGTCTGGAGGTACCGTACGAGCAAAGTAATCATAACGGGACTTGTCGCTGAGCTTAGCACTGGTTGATGCATAGCTGATCTGTGGGATTTGGAAAAGCCGGAGGAGGTTGGCTACCTGGAAGAGAATGCAGGGGTCAGAAAGTCAGTGTCCCAGGAGTTTCAGATGGAATGACTTACTTGATACCTGGTGGGGACCAAACCAGGTTCCTAGCTCACTTGCTCCCTAGAAGGGACCTCCCAAGGAATCTCTCCATTCCTTGGACACATGGCTTGTAGACCCATCCATTCCCAGATGGAATTCAGTACTGCTTCTTGAGCTTTAGTTTGGGCGACCTGCTCCCATCACCACTGCTCTAACTATTCCTCATTCAGGTCCTTCCCACAGTCCCCATTTTACTGGGAAGACTTCATGTTTCCCTCCCCTAGAGACCCAGGGTGCCCACTTCTCTGGAACTCTGTCCCCACCAGTGAGAGTCTAACCTCTATCCTTTTCTCCCTCAGTGGTTGGGTGGAAATGAGCACATCTAGGTGGAGGTCTCTGAGTCAGATTCACTTTTGTGACCTCATAGATGACCCTATAATCTTCTTTTCAGACCATGCCAGGACTGCCTAAGCTAAGGTCAAGAAGATAGCTGAACCATCATCTGTCTGGAAGCCATGGGAAGTCTAGTCTGTGTAAGGGATAGAACAGGGATAGTGGGCAAGAGCCTGGAGGTCCTCATATTTTCAGGGAGGAAAGGGCTGATTTGGACCAAGGGTTGATCTTCCCTGAGGAAAGGGAAGGACCAGATTACCTCTGGAGATCCCTGAGCAAATCCAGAATGGTACTGGGGGCTTTAGGTCCCTTAGAGTCTGGATTGGGGTAGCTTCCTTTCTCCCTCTTCACTATCCCCTTCTCCCTCTCCTCCACACTAGGCAGCACAAAGAAGGAAAAAGGAGCAAAAAACAGAAGAATCAGAAATGGATGAAGAAACAGAGGTAGGGAGAGGCATCTTGGAGGAGGCAGGGTTTTTGTTTGGAGTCCTTGGCATGGGGTTGGATGGACCAAGGGGGCAGTAGAATGATTTAGGAGAAAAGTGTTTTTTGTTTTTGTTTTATTAAGAAGACTGGGGCAAGAGATTTGGGAAAAAGTCTTAAAGATGAGGGTTGATGGGGAATCCATAGCTGGGCTTGATCCATGCATGGAGTAGGGACTGGTAGGAGAAGAGAAGAAAGAAAAGGGGAGAGGGGAGAACAGAACAAAAAAGGAGAGAGGAAGGGAGAGACGAGAGAGAAAAGGAAGGAGGGGAGAGGAACAAGAAAGGAGAGAGGAGACAAGAGAAGAAGAAAGAAAAGGAAGGGAGGGAGGGAGCAAGAAGGAAGGGAAGAAGGAAGAGAAGAGAAAAGGAAAGCTGGTGAAGAACTATGGGAGGGAGAAGGAACATGGAGAGCAGAGAGGGGAGAAGGGAGACATTGGTGAGGAAATATAGAGGAAAGCACACAGCTGCTCTCTTCACTTCAAGTTGCCAGGCCAAGTACAGTCCAGGATACTGAAAGAACTGCTGGATGAGACTGTTGAGCCTTTTGCTGAGGCACTATCAGTGATCTTTGAAAGATTTTGTGAGGTGCTGCAGGACTAGAGGAAAGCAAATATTCAGACTTGGGAGAAGGGGAGGGAAAGAAAAGGAAAGTATGCAAGTCAGTGAAGTTAACTTCAATTTGGGGTGGGGCAGGGAATATAGACCATATAATTAAAAGATTAGCTTGGGAACATCTGGAACAGAAAACAATGAAAGCCAAGATATCTTCAAAATGTCATGCCAGACTAGGCTCATTCCTTTTTTGACAGAGTAATTGGACTGGCAGATCAGGTAGTTGTGGCCAACTGGTAGTTGACCTTGATTTCAGTTAAGCATTGGACAAAATTTCTTATGTTTTTCTTCCAGACAAGATGGAGAATTGTGGGTTAGACAATAGTATTAGACAGAGTTTGAGCTGGTTAAATCACTGGACCTAAAGAGTGGCCTGCAAGCTCCCTATGAGTTCATCGTATAACATTGCTGTCCATCTGGCCAGCTAAGGCTCTAGAGCTGCATCTAGAGGTCTGGTGTCCAGAACAAAAGATACCATGGTTCTGCCCTCAGTAGATCCCATAGAGAACTGTGCTTAGTTCAGGATACCACACTCAAGGAAGAATGTTAACTAGCTGGAGGGCCAGGATTTGGGAGACTGAAGACTATGCCACCAAAGGATTGGTCAAAGGCACTGGGGTTAAACTAGGAGAAGAAACACTTGGAGGGGAGGAGGGAGATGTGATTCTTATTTTCAAGTATCTGCAAAAGTGTCACATGAAATAAAGCTCCATTTGATTTATTTGCTTGGTTCTGGAGGGTAGAACCAAAAGCAAAGGCTGGGAAGTGTAAAGAGGCAGATTTATGCTCCATGGGAGGGAAAGCTTCTCAAAATTAGGGCTCTCCAAAGGTGAAATGTTTTGCCTCCAGAAGTAATGGGTTTTCTCTTTCACTTTAATCCTTCAAGTGACAAATGGATGATCCCTTGTTGAGAATGTTGCAGAGGGATTCTTGATCAGGTCAGGTATGAGCTATGAGTCAGCTAGATGATGTCTGAGGTTCCTTCTGGGTCTGAGGAGAGAGTGGAGAGGAAAGGGAGAGGAGAAAAGGAAGAGAAAAGATGGAGAGGAGAAGGAGAGGAGAAAAAGGAGGAAGAATAGGAAAGAAAGAAAAACGAGAAGGGAGAGAGAGAGAGAGAGAGAGAGAGAGAGAGAATAAAAGGAGAAGAATAGGGAGAAGAGAAACGAATGGGGAGGAGAGAGGAGAGGGAGGAGAGAAAAGAGAATAGGGAGGAGCAGGAATTGAGGAGGAGGGAGGAGAGCAGAGGACTCTGTAGGGGTAGAGAGGGGATGGGAGAAGCAGGGAGATTGCCAAGAGAAGATAGCAGACGGGCTAGGGAAGAAGAAGAGGAGAGGGGGTGAAGGACCAGTGCATTCCCGGTTGAGGGCTAGGGCTCAGGCTGGGAGAAAGCCTCCCTTTCCCCTTCTGAGCAGACCCCTTTCTACCCCCGGACAAGGAGATTGAGGCGGCCATCAAGATCCAAGCCTGGTGGAGGGGCCTGCTGGTGCGACGGACGTTGCAGCACGCATCCCTCCGTGCCTGCATCATTCAGTGCTGGTGGCGGACTGTGCAGGCCCAGGCACTGGACAAGAGACGGCGGACGATGCTGGTGCTCTACTCGCGGCAGGAGAGCGCCGTGGTCAAGCTGCAGGCGCTGGCGCGCATGTGGAGGATTCGCCGCTGCTACTGCCGGGCGCGGATTGCCGCCTGCATCATCCAGGCATACTGGCGCTGGTATGCCAGACGAAACCGAAAACCAGAGAGCGACCACGCGACGGCAGAGCATTTGGAGATCGATATAAAAATTCTGGTTTAAAAATTTGGGAGCCCTAGAGGCTGTGATAGCTGCGGAGGGACCGCGCGAACTCCACCTCTTTCAATAAAGAGTATGGACTGGGCTAATCTGGTCTGTACTGGCCTGGTGCCTTTGGCCGATCCTCCACTGACGCAGGCCCCAGGGAGTCCTGGACTCAGTACCGGTCAAGGACCTTGGAGAGAGCATCTCGTTCAATGCTCAGTTTACAAATGTGTAAACAATAGAAGAGAGGGAACAGAATGTGCCCAAGTTTAGGAAGGTTAGGCAGGTAGTAGGGACCTCCAGGCTCTCTTCCTTCCTTCCTAGGGAAGATCCTCACCCCATTCCCCCACCATCCCCCCCTGCCTCCTGACTAATTTATAGAAGACTCCTCCACATGATCTCCAAAAGGAGAACTGGGGCGGGGCGGGAGGGGGGGCAGCTAGGTGACGCAGTGGATAGAGCACCGGCCTTGAAATCAGGAGGACCTGAGTTCAAATACGACCTCAGACCAAACACTTGACACACTTTCTAGCTGTGTGACCCTGGGCAAGTCACTTAACCCCAATTGCCTAAAAATTAAAAAAAAAATACAAAAGGAGAACTAGGGCCCCTCTACCCCTTCCTTCCACAGGAGGGTGGACCCAGGAATCCTTGCTCCCAGTACTTGTGTGACTGTCTTCTGTTTCAGTCGGGAATAGCCCTCTTTCCTTGGCTTTTCTCTCTCCTTTCTACCTCAGGCTGTACTTTGTACAGCTACTGCTAGTCTTGGGGTGGGGACCAGCTGGGGATCTGGATTCTTGGGTTCTGTCCTTGGCAAGGGCCGCTGCCTGGTCGAGTGCCTTGGGGACTGGGAAGCCCCAGCTAAGTAGGTAGCTGGCAATGAGGGGAGGGGAAGGGAAAGAAGGGGAAACCCTGATCCTGGACCTTGTCTCTCATGGGCCAGAATGGCAGATGGTAAGAGCAGACAAGGCCTCAGCTGGGCCTGCATTGGCTCACCCCTCCCCAGAGGCCTTTGCAACAGGATTCCCTCTTCAGGCCTTCCAGACAGAGCTAGATGTTGAGAGAAGGAGAAAGGGACTGGTGTATACATGTATGTATACGTGTGTATTGTACATATGCGTATGTGCATGGTCTGGCCTCCTCCTGGACATGTGGGTGCCCCTACCATAGGAGGGTGTCTTCCCATCCCAATACTTCCCCTCATATGCAAAACTTCTTCTTCCTATTTCATTCCCTTCCACTCATCCCATCCAGGTATCTGCTGACCTATCTCTCCAGGTTTCACAGTCTTTGTTTTTCTGTCCCTTGGCCTTTCTTTCTGCCTCCATCTCCTTGTACATTTCTCTAACTTGTCTTCCTGCCTTTGAATCTCACTATCTTTCTGTCTCTGTGTCCTGTCTCTAACTTTCTCTTTGTGCATCTCTGTCTTTCACTGCCTGTTTCTATTTCTATTCAGAAGCATCAGTGGCATGCTGGAAAAAGCACAGGGTGTGGTGTCCTGAAGACCTGGATCAAATCTTGCCTGAGATACTAGTTTTGTGGCCACTGGCAAATCATTGCACCCTTAGGAGTCTCAGTTTCCTGTAAGACTGGGATAGCATCTACCTCACAAGGTTGTTTTGAGGATCAATTTCCATCTATTCTCTTCCCGGGCCCCTCTTTTTCATCTGCCTCTGTGTCACACAATCTCTCCTTTTCTCTTCTCCCCCCCTTCCCCCAAGATATTTCTTGCAGGGTTCTTAGCATTTCATGAGCTCTGCCTTGCCATCTCTATCCATATTTCTCCAGATCTCTCACTATCTCTGTTTTCCCCTCATTCCCGTTGCCCGTCTTTTGCTCATTGTGTCTGCCTCTCCATCTCCCTCTTACAACACACCCTTTCTGTCTCTGTCTTTGTTTCTGTATGTCCTTTTCTCACTCTCCCTGTCTCCATTAAGGCTCTCTAGAAATGGAACGGGCTGTTTCGGGAGCTTTTCCAGCAAAGGCTAGGAGCAGCTCACTTTCCCCCAAATGTATCAGGAACGGATTGGACTAGGTGCCTATAGAAGTACCTTCGGAAGGCTGAGATTCTGTGCTTTCATTTCTCGTTCTTGTCTGTCTCTCACATCCATCTCAGTGCATTGCTCTGTCTTGCTATCTCTATTTCCCACTCCCTCTCTGCCTTGGACTACTTCTTTTTCTGTTTCTCATTCTCCCTCCTCTATTACGGTGTCTTATTGTCTCTATCTCTCTGCATCTCTTTTCTTTCCTCTCCCGTGTTTCTGTGCCCGTTCCCTACTGCCCCTCCCACCCCTTTCTCTGCCCCTGCCCCTGCCCTTGTCCCTAGCCAAGACCACTCTACCCCTGCCCAGGCCCTCCTCCCCGCGGACCTGGATAGAGACGTCGCTGTAGGAGCCGCCGATGACGCCGGTGATGGCTGTGGGCGGCTCGCCGTGGATGGCGTAGGAGCCGTCGGGGCACACGTGGCGGGAGCCTGGGGCGCCGCGGCTGAGGGAGGCGCGCACGAAGTCCAGAGCCTGCTCTAGTGCGTGCGTGTCGGTGGAACAGCTGTCGAGGATGTGCGCGCCCAGACGCACACCAGGCAGCAGCCTCGGGTCACCGTTGATGCGATCCAGGGCGAAGAGCATGGCTTCCAGGCGCTGCACACCGCGCTGTTCGTTCACAGGGCCGCCGCACTCCCCGTTCCCCCCAGCCCCTGGGACCCCCTTCTGGTGCACCGGGAACAACCCGCCCAGAACCAGGTCCCCCGCCAGGCTTAGGGTCTTCTTGCCTGGGCTCCCAGCTCCCGCCTCGGCCCCACCCCTGGCTCCCCACAGCAGCAGCAGCAGCAGCAGCAAAGGCAGAGTTGGCCCCATTTTGAGGGCACCTGACCGAGGTCCCGGATGGGATCAGGGAGAGGAGACAGAGAAAGAAGGGAGAGAAGACAAAAGGAGGATAGAAATGGGGAGGGGGGAGAGGGGGAGAGAAAAAAGAGGTAGAGGAAGAGAAAGAGAAGGAAGAGAGGGAGGGAAGAGGAGAATGGGGAGAAGAGAAGGGAATCAGAAGGGGAGAGGGAGAGGAGAAAAGAGAAACAAAGGAAGAGGGAAGGGGAGGTGTGAGGGGAAGGGGGAGAAGTGATGGGAGAGACAGGAGGTAGGGGAGAGGAGAGAGGAGAAAGGAGAGAAAAACAGAAAGGGGGCAGAGAGTGAGAGAAGGAAGGAGATGAAACAGGTAGCAGAAGTGGGGAAGAAAAAGAAGGAGGAAAAGAGATAATGAAAGGGAAGAAAGGACCAGCTAGAGGGGAGAAAAGACAGATGAAGGGAAAGGAGACAGAAGGAAGATGAGGCAAAGGATTCACTGGGAAGAGAAGGAAAGAAGAGTGTTGGATGAAAGAGAAGGAATAGGAGGCAGTGGGTTGGAAAGAAAATGATGGGCTAGAGTGGAAAAAAGACAGGATAAAGGGAGTGGGAGAGGAGGGAGAGCAGAGAGAGAACAGCACCTGCAGAGAGACAGAAACATGGAAGCTGGGCAAAAGGGAAAACCCAGTGGGCTTCCCCAACACTCCCACCCCACATACTCAGTCACACTCTTGAGAGAAATGAGAGAGTTTACTTTGGGAGTCCAGGACCAGAGAAAAAAGATTATTCATTAAGCTGAAGGGGTGACAGTGATTGGCTTCTGGCCTATTTCCTGGGGCCCTATTTTCTTCCTCCATCCTTCTGTCCTACACTTGGTGGTCCCTGATCTTTTCC